CTGGGATCTAAAAACCTTCAGCCAAGCTTTGTGTTTTGTGAATGAATGCTTGTTTTGACTTGTCTTTTGAACATGAACCATGACAGTTGTTGCCAGTGTTTTATTTTCTCTTGCAACAGCTCTTATCAAAACCAGTTTGGTGTGTTGCATTTTACTGTAGCAAATAAAAGAATGTGAGAAGGACTATTTTTGGAAGATGCAATTCCACAGAAAGGATCTAAGACTCGGCACACAAAGGGCTGTACCACTGAGTCACCTGCATGAGTGTCACATGACTGGCAGTAAAAATAAATAATTGTAAGGTTTATCCAAAACTAAAAATATTCCTCTATTTGGAATTTGGTTTGGTTTCTTCAACTGACTTAATTTCCTAGCATTTAGTCTACAAAAATGCTATAATCCTTGGATCTGTGAACTACTGAAAAAATAGCATAGGTTATATATTATTTTACCAATAATGATGACTTAAAGTCAAAGTAGGTTACTTAAATTGTGGTCACATAAAGACAACTGAGTCAGAGATATTGGAGCACAGAAGAAATACTGCAGACAGTGATTAATGCAATGAAGAAGCAAAGGAACGAGACAACACAGATGATTTCAAGAAAGATCATGAACAGAAATTAAACAGAGCAACAAGAAAACTGTACATCCCAAAAGTAGAACATAATAATCCAACATCATTTTTCATTAATTATGGAGGACCAATACATAATTAAAAATAATAACTTTCATTTCTAAATGTGTTAATTTGAAGTTGTTTTGAATGTTTACATGGATCACTACATAGAGAATAAATGAGTTTAACAAGTATCAAATCCTTCTTTCTTTACTTCTAAAAGTTGAGACAAACAGGTCTGTATAGAAAACAGAGGCAGGAAGCTTTCCCCTGGATACTACCCTCCTCCTGAAGCCACACACACTCTGGTTTCCTGAATTTGTGGTTAAGCGTCTGCCAGTGTTAAGAATGTGTAAGAAAAGTTTTTTTTATGATGAAGTAACAACATTCAGATTATTTTGCTATGTTTTTGCTTATTTGTGTTAAATTCATGTTGTGCTTTTTAAGACCTGAAGCATCTGTGGAGTTCAGAGACGGTAAAGAAGAATTTCTTTTTTGTCATACTAAGACGTCTTTCATCATTTTCGCTTTGGTCCTTACAGCAGCTCTTGTACTGCAACATTAATATCTTATTAGCATTACTCTCATTCCCACATAAGCACCAGCCCAAAAGAAGTACAGTAACAGGGAAAGAATGTTTGATCCGATGTTTGGTTACCTTCCAGCGAACCAGATATGTAAATGTACAGGAAGAGCGGTGCGCTGCTCTCCTCCCACTTGCAGCCTGTGTGCATAAATAGCAGCTTCGACACAGAGAGATGAATTTCATCCTCACTGGATAACAACCCAGAGTCCTGGTGTCCTGAAGCAGGTGAGTTCTGGAGAAGAGTGCAGTTAGAGGGGATATACGTCTTAGTCTTGTAAGTCTGTAGGAAGTTTCTCATATAAATTAGCTTAATGAATTTCTAAGCTTTATTTAATTGTTGTTAATTCTTTTAAACTTGCTTTCATTCCTTTTCAGACTGTATTGACAGACAAACAATGGCAGGTAAGTGTAATCTTTTTCCAAGAATTTTATTGTCCTCTAAGAGAAATTATTGACAGCAGAAGTGCAATGACTGAAAGATTCAGACACAATAAAGTGAATATATAAACATACAGTACAGATTATGGGAATGCAGTTTGGTCCATGTTCAATGAATTAAAGCTAATACTCTGAAAAGCAAGAAAAGGAAATAGATAGATATCTAAATTAATGCATAAGATAAAAACTTGAAATGCAATAAAGGCTTTCTCTGTCATTCTCCAAATGACAGTGGGTTTATTAAGAGAGACGGAGGTTGAAAGAAAAAAATTGTTTAAAATGATTGTTTTTGCAAGCTCTGTTGCATTTTCCTAATAATTTATAGTCACCAAGCAGAATACAGGACGGTTCCATCAAAGTGTTTTTGCCTGTTTAATTACCGTAGACAGACAGCAAAGGACAAGAATGAGAATTCCACCTGATAATTTTCATCAAGGTTTTCAGGAAGTCTGCACTGTAAAAGAAATCTCTAATTTACAGTAAGATACCAATTTACAGTAAAACCCATATAAATTTGTTGCCAGAAATATGGGTTTAACTGTATGAATACAATACATTTCCAGCAACCACAGCTGCTGTTTTTTTAACCTTAAATTAGAGACTTTTTCTTTTACAGTATAGATTTGTGATGCATGGAAAATGAAATCTTCAGGCTCATTTAGAGCAGAAATCATCAACATGATCTCCACAAACCAAAATAATGGTGCCAAGATGTTAAGATGTTATGTGCAATTCAATGGACTGGTTTTACCATTGAAACCTTTTTTCTCTGGATTTGCTCTGGCTCATAAGTTTTTTATTGTTGTTTTAGATGAAGTCTTTAAGAAAGAGTTCCTGGACGCACATAATGCCTACAGGGCTCAGCATGGTGCTCCAAAACTGACCTACAACAGCGAGCTGAACGCTGAAGCACAGAAATGGGCTGACCATCTTCTGGAGAGCAAGCTGTTGGGACACAGTGATACTGAAGATGGAGAAAATGTCTTCTATTCATTCAATTCACAGAAAGTTACACCAGAAGGTGCCTTCTCCTTTTCTATTACATCTTTATTTACTGGCTTTGATTTCAAAGTAATGCATTATGATCACAGTTACAAAAAAATGTATATAGAAAATAAAGAGGTGACTGTTGTCTGCTTAATGTTTGGTTACTAAAAGGAGAAGTTATCATGTAACAACCTTTAGCGTCCCAATCTGTTTTTTGCATTCTCACCTATTTATTCTAATGATTCAGGAAGCCAAGCTGTAGATGCTTGGTACAGTGAAATCAAGGATTATAACTTCAGCAAACCTGGACAGCAACCAAAAACTGGTAAAGCACTACACACCTAACAACTTCTAACTGAAACACAGATGTATTAAAAACATGTATGAGAAAAATTTACACAATAACAACACCTTCATCATCCCAAATCGACCTTTATCCTCCAGATCACATTGGAACTGTCATGGTTGTTTGCATATATTATTATTTGTCCTGTTGTCTCAGAGCCAAACATAAAGTGAAAAAATGTACTTAGTTTAGCATTTCTGATTTCCCTTTGAAAAATTGCTTAGTGAAAATGAAATCATACTTTAGAAGAAATATGTTTATACTGGCAATCCTGAAAAGATGCTGCAGATGGTCATTGTCCTGTCATTAGAGCTTGAAGAGGCAGCAGACGACCATCTTCTTCAACATGGTGGAATGCTCAACAGAGAGTTTAACACTGCAGTCTGATTGGACTTCTGTCTGTCTTCCTGCAGGACATTTTACCCAGGTGGTTTGGAAAAGCACCACGGAGCTTGGTGTTGGCTTGGCCACTGATGGTCACACTGTCTTTGTGATTGGGCAATACCGCCCAGGTGGGAACATAACGAACAAAGGTTACTATGAAAACAACGTTCTTCCAAAAAGCTAAAGGTAACCATTAGAACACATTTCATTTCCTTCTAGCAAAACTTCTTTACTTTGTAAACAGAATAGAACTACTCTCCTATAGATTGAGCTTTCAAGCTTTATTATTTTGTTTCACATGCTATCCATACAATCAAACTATGCAGACATATACAGAAATAAATAATAAAATCTAACAATACAATGTGGACACACTTGTCACAAGTAGCAAGCAGTCCCATTAGTAAGAATAGACATTTGTATAGATAACAAGAGAAAGGAAATTATTCCACCATGCAGGCTCACAGACACACACAGGACATTTAGCACATGTCAAACATCCACAGCAACATGATTCTGTTCAGGAGCTAAACAGGATGGGCAGCAACCTTAGCTTGGCAGCTGTATTGCAACTCAACTCAGTTCCATCTTCTGAAAGATTTTTTCCAACCAACTGGAGACGGTCCAGTCCAGACATTTCTGCAGCTACAAAAGTCTTTATGAACTCTGTATTTTAATAATCTAGGGCTTCATAAAAATGACAAGACATTCTTTTCTATCTGCATATTTAATATGTTTACATATTTCCTGACTCAATCTTTACCAGTATTTCCTGTCTTGTTGCAGAATAAAAGCTGTGCAGCGAGCTGCCAGCAGAGGACGGACTGCTGCAGGTTACACCTCCAGTGAGAGGAAGTCAGCTGAGGGGAAAAGAAATTGGATACTTCTGGTGATGGGAAGGGGAGAGTCTTTTTTTCTTTCTTTCTTTTTAATTATGACATACAGAATAGTGTAATTAGTGATCTGGGCAAAATGAACAAAGCTTCAAATAAATCTTTTCCTGGAAATGTCTAGTGCAATTTCATTTGTAAAGCATGACCATGCATACTACCATGCACATTAGTTTGCATATTATTTACTCTTCTGAAATAAATAAGGTTGTTGAGTTTTGTAACCTAAAAGAGGAAACACATGGTGAGTTTGTGGAGCCATTTTTTTCTGAATTCTATCAAGCAGGTTGTCATACTGATTTGATTATTTTGGAAACCTACAGACAATTCACCTCCTGGCTCTACGGACATAAAGGTTTGCTTTAAAATAAAGTAAATAGTGCTACCAAACTACTGTCCTACAGATTGAAAGTCTGTCCCTATTGGAGCCCAATGTGAAGCACATCTCCTCCAGTCCATAAGCCTGGAGGACCAAGTCACTTCCTGTTCGGTTTCACATTACTTTGACTCAAAAGCAAGAAGAAATAAAACAAATTTAAGCCAGTGTAACTAATAAAAGTTCCTGCTACAATATACATAAAAATTACCAAAAAAATCTTAAAAAATTAAACCAAAAGAAAAGAAAAACAAAGAAGGAAGAAAATAAATTCTCAATGCAGTCACAAAACAGTAAGAGAATATCAATGTGCCTCAAAATACTCCTAACAAGAATCATTCAGATCTCTGAAACTGTTGGGCAAATTCCACAACAAAACCAAATACATTAAAAACAATTGTAAAAAAAAATAATAAATGGAAAATATTTAGTGAAATCAAACAAGAAATCCTTATTAAGGTGAAGATTGCTTTCAACATCTAAACCAAAAATCTCAACAGCAACATAATAAAAGTAAAAATTAAACTTAAAGAATAAAAGTGTAAATGGTCTCTATTTGAGTAGCGTTCCATAAAGTTCAGAGAACCCTAGTCAAATTCAGACTATATTCAGTTATTCACCTATTTACACACACATTCACACTATGTTTACACACACATTCACACATTGAATGTGTGTGAATGTAGTGGTAGTGGTGAGCTACTGGACTGTTGCCGCTGGAGCAGCCTGATGTATGCATGCACTGGCGCCAGCAGCCAGGCGTTACGTCTCTCTTTACCAAAGATGTAACGCCAGACATGAACCAGTCTGAGGGATTTGAACCAACAATCTACCAGTGACAGCATGAACTCCTACCTCCAGGATCTCCATAAAACGTTCATTTCAGTTCAAAAAGAATGAGGAAAAGCCACTGCTTATTAAATTCTTAATCAGTTTGCATGTGGATTCAAATCTTTTACACATTATAAATATGTATATATAATTTGTCCTCAAGGTCACAGTTAGCCATCACAACATACTTTCTTCCTTCATTATCCATCATATACTCTGTTACATCCATGTGCTTTTATAATAGCGTTGTTTTTATTTATTTTTTATTTTTTTACCTGATTTGTGTTCACACCGCACTTCAAATCACCATCCATAGTTCTATTCCTCAGTTTCAGTCTGACTGTTTTGCACATTTTGTTTGTGCTTTTTGTTTTCTAAAATCTGTTTATCCTCTTACCTCATTATTCCCTTTTTTCCAAGAATATTCTTTACATATTTTCTAGTAATTATTTCCTGCTCTGTACATTGTTTGAGCAGTTTTGTGTTTGACAAGTTCCATACATTTCATCTTGTTCATCTTTAATAAAATAAGTTTCTGTGCTCCAGATGGAACATTTTATGAATTATCCTTATTGCTTTTTATTTTAATGTGCATAGTTGCTGTAAATTACATTTCCATGTGTTTCCCCAAAATCTACACATAATAATATAAGCATGATGTGACAGTTGAACAATGTAGTATCTTTTCGAATTCCTGGTTTATCATGTACTTTTTTTTCCCCAGCACTGCAAAACTCCTTGTTATTTTTGCTTTTGCATGACTAAAGCAAGGCTTCCAGGATGTTTTATGATCCAACATAACACTCTGAATTTTGCTTTCATATACTCATTTAGTATATATCTTAATATTACTGTCATTATTTGTATTTGCTCCATTATTTTTCACTTTCCAAATCAAATTATCTTTGACTTACCTAAATTCATTCATATTTGATTGTTTGGCAACACTGTTTCAATTTACTGATTTCTAAAGGCATTGATGCTGTAGCGCTCCCCTGACCAAAAAATATGACATAATTACAAAAATTACGTCATATTTATAAAAATCTTGAGAATTGTTTGCCATGAATTTGCAGTGCTCTGTTTGGGTCAGCTAATGCAGTGTTACCGTATTGCTGGAGACTATATTTGCGCTGAGTAATCTGTTTTATCTGAAGACACCCTGCTGGTAAACAGCAGTGTCTGATAAGAGGAAGGAAAAACCGTCTCTCTTTACTAAAGTGGGAAAACAGCGCCACCCAGTGACTCATTTCTGTGGTACAGTGTGTGAAGGTCTGAGATTATTCTGTTTTTTTTTTTTATTTGTTTAGTTTTTTGTGTTTTTTTTTAAAGAGAAACACTGCATACTAAGGTCATGTTAATTGATTTTGTGAAGTTTCATTGACTGTTGTAATGTTTTGTGTCATTGCCTGGTACTGCGGTCTGTCTCTGGTCAAAAAACAGACTTTTTATAGAGCAATTTTGTTGCCTTCTGAAATTACATTGATGGTTGATCATGTAAATTTGAAAAAAATCTTAAAAGCTCTCTATTAGAGAATTATTTACTAATGACCTGATGGAATGTTTAAATTTGATCAGGTCAATAGTAAATTTAAATTGATAGTCTGTTATTGTTGCACTTATTTTTCAGTATATTTTAACTTATGATAGGGTTGAAAAAGTTTGTGTGGTGAGAATTTTTCTCATGCCTTTTCATAATGTTTGTAAGCTATGTAAGCAGTAGATTTGAATTTTGTGTTTAATTTCACTTTGTTTGTGTCCTAAGAAATACCTTTATGTTTTTCTCAGGAATGTTCATAAAGGACTCTTATAATAAAGTTGACGTGGACAATAAAATTACTATTTACTCCTGAACCAGAAGTGACTGGTCTTTGGGTTGTACATTTTCTCTGGTTCTGAGCTGGCCCTCATACAGACTCTGTTTGGAATAAAGCCCAGCAGAAGCAGTGATTCCTCCAGCAGCTCAAGAAGAACTGCAATGAACAGTTAGGTCCGCAGAGCGGACCATCAGGTTTGACCTTCCCTCCACTCACGACTTGTACTGGGTTCAGAAAAAGAGTTAAAATCTCTGCAGACCCCTCACATCCTGGACACAAACTGTTTTGACTTTTACTTTCAAAGCAAAGTGCCCAGATCCATACCATGCATTTTTGCACTGATTTAACCTTGTCTTCTTGTTTTGTAAAAACATTGTATATTCACATATTTACAAAAACGTTTTTATTTTTATTTATTTATATTTATGTTTAAAATGTATTTTGTTAAAATTAAAGTGTAGCCAAATTTCTTGTTTGCGTGTCACCAAGATGGTGAATTAAACTGATTATACATTTGTATTTTTGGCATCTCTGCATTTGTGGCACAAAACAGAGCCGATGTTACCTGCTGTGACAAGTGGTGATTTGATCAAGAGTCAAAATCCAGAGCTGAAAGGTCCAAATGTAGATCAAAACTAAAATAAATTGAAATAGGATGCAAAATAATTATTTGTTTTGTTTTTTAATACTATACCATAGTTACATTTTACATATTTTTATGAAATCTACATGTTCTATCTTCATGTATTACTGCTTGACTGTAATGATAAATATAGTAGTTCATTATTTTAATACATGGATATAAAATGGAATAGGATGCCAGAGCTTAGCCACATCCACTCACTGAGGAAAGTTGATTGTTTTATGCATTAGTTGTGGTCTTTGCCTCCACAACAACATGAAAGAACAAACTGAGTCAACAGGTTGTGGTGGGTGTGGTCCAAGTATGCTGTGGCTTTTACTTTGTTCCAGCACCTGTACGAGATATTGAAGGTTCTTATAATGTCCAGCAGGATTGTTCAGATCAGTGGATCCTTCCAGCATAAAGAACTATTTTATTATACTTATACTCTTTTATGCTTTGTGTTCTTTTTCACTTTTCTATCCTGGTGTCTTTGATTTACTGACATGTCTGTACCGCTTTCACAGCAGCAGGTAAAGTTTCATGGACCTGAATGGCTACATTCGTTTTGTGATAACCATGTTAGACATCAATGCTGCTTTTCATACAATCAGTCCTCATTCCTCTAGGCTGTAGAAATACAACTACTCCCCTTAACTTTTTCTTCACTCAATTTTCTTTGAACTTCTGTATATGTTGTTGGAATATTATGTGAAAGACTGACACAAAATAGTGGATATTTGTGATGTGGAAGAAAATATAAACATAGCTTTTATTCTCTTTACAAATATAGATCTCAAAAGTGGCATGCATTTGTATTCAAACACCCTGAGTCAATATTCTGTAGAGGCAAACCTAACTGTCGATAAAGATGCAAGTCTTTCAGGATACATCTCTTCTGCACATTGACATTTTTGTCCATTCAGATGGGAGAGAATCTATTAAGAGAAATTTTCAAGACGCTCAAGTGAAATAAAGCCTGAGGTTTAACTCAACCACTCATGGAAGATCAGATTCTGTAGTGTAGTGATTATGATGTCTACCTAACATGAAAAAGATCTCTGGTTTGAAACTAGACAGAAACATTTTTTTATCAGTTATGTGTTGTAGGTCCAGTAGACAGTTTCACGAGTGTGATCTGGTACATGCAAAGTGACTTCTATGGTGTAAGGGTTAGCACTCTGGTCTTTGAGTCCAATAACATGAATTCAAGTCTCAGGAGGATGTCCTGGTATTGTACCTAAAAATTTGCACAAAGCAATAGCTTTCAATAGCTGCTTTCACTGTTCATTTATTCTCTAACTTAAATCAGGTAGAAATCAAGGTTTGACAGTTTCTCCACCTACTTACTCTGTAATAAATATTTGGCACAGTCTACAGCCCATCATTAAAATTAGCCTTTGGCAATTTTTCAGCCTTCTACCTAGAAGGTCATAAGATCAGTTTTTGTCTTGTAGTGATCATCATGTTT